TGTAATCTGTTTTCTGCCTTGTTTTTGTTAGCTGGATGATTATATAGTGTATTTTGCTGTCTTTTTTTGTTCTTCTAATCTAATTGATTGTTGGGATATCCATGCCTGTGTCCTTTTGTTCTTGTGATATCTTTGTCCATTTGAACAATGGTTTCTCTGACTTGCTGAAGGCAGAACAAATTTAGTTCGATGATATATTGTACTCCATGATGCAATTGATTGACACTCTTGCAACCTTTCACGTGTTTTGTTATATTGCTCTTCATGATTATTTTGGCTATTATTCACCCACTGCATAGTGGTCTGAATTTATGTACAGTAGTGAGTGCTGGATCATCAATCAACATGAATGCTTTAAGTTCCATTTTAGCAAGTACAGTGAGGTTGGAAATGGGTACAGCACCCCAGATATGACAACTGTATTTCAACTTTGGGCAAATTTGTGCATATGTTCGTTTGGGGTTAAAGATGGCTTGAGCACATAATATTAAACCAACTTCGCTATGTCTGAGATAATTCGTCTGTCTCCTTAGCCAATTTGGCAACATAGCCATTCAATGCTTATGCATTCTCATAAATTAGTTAATGTAAGTCTTAAGATATGCAGAATTAGAAACATACTAGCTAGTTAGTGGCATTCAGAATTCTGTAATTCACTCCAGTTACTTTTGTTTTGTTCCAACTACCGTGCTACAGGTCAAAACACTTAATTGTCTGCTCCTTCCCTCACACTGTGTGACTTTGGAATGCATTCCCATGTTCTCTTTCCCTAGATGGTATGACCTTGCTTATTCCGGAAGACGATTGCTTGTGTTGTGATCCAAACGTCGTGATCTATTATTTTTTATTTACATGACTTGACCGAAAGACCTAAGAGTATATCAACTGAGCTATTATAACTTTGAAATGCTGTTTGTTGCTAGCCACTAGGCGTTTTGATCTTTTAGGCATGTGTTCAGCAACTGTAAAAAGTGTATCTTCCCTGTTTGGGAAATAATTGTTACACTTCAGTGTGTTTGGTGTTTGGCATTCATATTAACTGTGTATTTGGTATCCATAGCTAATTTTTGTTCAACTTTATTTAAGTTTTTATATATACCAATCGTTATACTACTTTTTTAGCCGTGGCAGTATGGCCCATTAGGTCAATTCTCATTAATGCCAGAGTACCTTTACGTTTAGCACAGATCTTATCTGGATGTCATTCGAGTCGGTTTTATTATCGATTATAATTGTCTTCATGTTCTGTAGTTTGTATGCATATTCCACGATCATTTGTCACCTATTTGGGAACCAGTTATCCCATAGTTTATTTTCCTTCTCTATTGCTTAGATTTAGGACATCCCAGGTTTGGAATCAAACTTTTAAAAATGTCTAGATAAATTTGCCTGAAAAGGCTAAGTGAGCTCTGTCTACCCCGGTGTGAACTAAAAGTTTGTTCCCTTAGAGCCCTTACAGGTTCAGCCTAGATGTTCGAGCACCTAGTTCCTGGCAGTATTGTAAGGTTATTTTCTGCAGGCTGTTTACCATCAAGAGGGCTTGTTTACACAGTATTTCCAGAAATGGTAAATCATATTTTTATTCCATCACCTTGATACCAGCAAAAAGGGTCCCTTAGATACTGAAATTCAGTGTTCATCTCAGAGAGGCTCGCTGATGGTCTACGAGGTACTATACACATAGACCTGTGAAAATGTATATGCTAGACCAATTTTCCATTAAAAGTTGAGAGCGGCTATAAAGCAAACATAACGTTGTCTGAAACCACAAAATAAATATTGAGGAAAGGGATAAATACAAACTCTTGACCCGTTTCAACTTAAGTGTGTCATCAAGTCCGGTTTGCTAGAATAAATCCTGGTGAACTGCTAGATGTTATAGGTAAGGGTCTTAGCCCGAGGCAAAATTATATAATACCTACAATGTCTCCTTCATATGTCTCCACAATGAAAAACAAAAAGTGTTTTTTACAAAACCCATTGTCCTCCACCCAGTTCTTCTTGGGAGTGCACAATTACAGCAGCTTTGATATATTTAGGTACTGGCAAAGGAGGTCCCATGATAAATCAATGCTGCAAGAATAATGCACTCAATTTTTTGGTTTAATGCCATTTGATTTAAAATATCATCAATGCTGCTGGAATTATGCACTCCCATAATGCTGTGGGGCCGATGGGTTGTGTAAAAAGTACATATGATTTTTTTTAATGGGGAGGTTGTCATTGCCAAAAAACATTTTAAATTCCCTTGCAGTTTGCATGTCTCTTTGATATTTGGTAGCAGAAGGTTCAACTGAATAAGGAACCAAGGAATGGGTGTTGGTTTCAGTGTTCCAATTATGCTAATAGTGCATCTAGAAAAAATATTACCAATTTCTATTCCAGTGTAACTCCTTTTTCCTTCATGGTATCCACAAAACCTGTTATTTGCAAAGATTGGGGTTTCCAGGATTGTTTAATGTTATCTGAGGATTTTTTATTTGAAGCTTTCGTGACTGCAGGAATCCAACCTCTTTGGTTCTTTCGGCAAAGTCACGTAGGTAGAAAAAATAATATATCACGACGTTTAGATCGCCACACAAGCAACCGTCATCAGGTGGGAGAGAGAAACACACTGCTGAAACTAGTCCTCATATATAGAGAGTCGAGAGGGGGTGAGGGGCGGGGGGTAGTCGCATTGGGCAATAGGTGCGGGCTAGAGATTGTGGTCGACGTAGCCCTCAAAGGTTTTGGACACATATCGGCAGACGTGGCAAGATCTGAAATCTCTGCCATCCTCATAAACGCTAAGAAACACACTAGTAATATCAGCAAGGACAAGCGTTTTGAACTCGCTCAATTGAAAAAGAGATATGATATTGTCATCCTCTCAGCCGACAAAGACAATGTCACTGTCATCATAGATAAAACCACATACAACAACAATTCAGGACCTTCTTAATGATGGCAGTTATACCAAAATCAACAGAGATCCTACCAACAGCCTGGCCATGAAAACCAACAGTATAATCACTAATTCGACTTCTCTAATCGAATCGACCAAGCAGCTCTCTCTAAAACTTTCGCCTGCTAGACCACCCGTATTTTAAGGCCTTCCAAAAATCCATTAAGAAGGTACTCCACTCCGTCCTGTCATATCCACCAATAACTCACCCACCAACAAACTGGCCCGATTTCTGTCTGAGACCCTGCTTCCATTCACGGGCAAGACCACCTCAGCTGTACTTTTATCAGCTCACTTCGTTTCTCTATTCAAGGACATCTCACTGTCTCCAGATGATTTGCTTGTCAATTTCGATGTAGTCTCTCTGTTCTTGACACCATTGCAATCATTGACGACTTGGTCCAACTGGGACTGAATCCTGATGTACCAACTTTGGTGAGGCACTGCCTTACCAACACTTACTTCACCTCGAATGGTACATTCTACAAACAAAATTAAGGTACCCCTATGGGTTCTCATTTATCACCAGTGGTAGCGAATGTTTTCATGGAGAAATTCGAAACAGATGCCATCCTGACATACACCCTACGTCCTTCCTTGTGGAAGAGATATGTAGATAACACGTTCGTCATCTGGCCACATAGCCAGCCAACACTGAGCCAATTTTTCAACCACATCAATACCATACACCCATCCATCAAATTCACAATGGAAGTTGAAAATGATGGCAAGCTACCATTGCTGGATGTTTTGGTTGAGAAGAGACCTGATGGCTCATTGAGACACTGTCTACAGGAAAGCCACCCACATGGATTCCTATCTAAAGCTTGATTCCCACCACCATCCAGCCCAGAAAGATTCCCTCATTGAAACACTACACCACAGGGCCTGTTGCATCTCCGACCAGCACCACCGAGCCAGTGAGCTTGAGCACGTACACCAAGCCCTCAGGATGAACGGATATTCAGACCACACAATCCGCAAAGCTGTATCCCCAACCATTGGGAGAGAACCATCTGAGGACCCAATCAAAACCATCACCTTTCCATACATAGCAGGTGTTACCAAAACTATTTCCAAAATTTTGAACAAACACAAGATCCAGGTTAGATTCAACACAGTACACACAATCCGTGATTTGATCCCATCTGTGAAGGATGTGATTCCTGACATGCAATACCCTTGTGTCTACAAACTAAGTTGTGTCTGCAGCAGCAGTTTCATTGGGGAAACGAAACGACATGTCTCGAACCGTGTTCACGAACACAAGGCAGATTTGAAACACGGCAGAACCAATACCTCTGCCGTTGCTGATCATTGTTTTAACGCAGTGGGGAGGTCGTTATTAACCTGGTAAAGCCTTAACTGGTTGTTGATGTTTCCATCTTATCTGCCATTCTCAGCCATTATTTCCGACTCTTTGAGTTACATTACCAATTTACATTACCAAATCAATTGTCGTTACATTAACGGGCTAACAAAGCCAACGTTTCCCCTTTGCCTCGATGTGGCGGTGGCTCACGTTTTTTAGCAGACGATAACTGCCTGTGATGTTATTGTGTGTATATATCTGTGTGTTTTTGGCCACCTCCTCAGCCTGTCGTCGTTCGTGGAGGTCATCCTCCCCTTCCCCCCCTCTTTTGGTTCCCATCTTTAGATTCCCCACTCGCATAGGCACAATCTTTAGCGCCTACCCTCTTGCCCGATGTGGCACCCCCCCTCCCCCCCTCTCGGCTCTCTCTCTATATATAAGGACTTGTTTCAGCAGTGTGTTTATCTCTCCCACCTGACGACGGTTGCTTGTGTGGCGATTGAAACGTCGTGATCTATTATTTTATTCTACCTACGTGACTTTACCGAAATAACCAAAGAGTATCTGAGGATTCTTCAAGATTTACCCATAGATGAATGTGGTACCAAAGAAAGTTATTGTGAAGGAGATGTCACAGCCATGGAACAATTCAAACAGCTGTGCCATCTGTCTCATTCCTCAATCACTGCTCCCACAGCTGCCCCACCTCCCTGCCTCAACTGAGCTCCATCTGTGTTCCCACAGCTCTGCAAGGAGGGACCGGTTCCATCATTGACTGTGACACTGCAAGCTGAGCACGCAGAGCCATGGCTGAAGGTTTGTGCACGATCAAGGACATGGGGTCAGATAAGCCCTGATAGCACCTTAACCAGGGGTCACAGGGTCACGGGCTCAGGCTCTTCAACACATACACTAGCATGCAAACCTACAGCCTGTGTGTTTGGTCCTATAAACAGATATGGCCTGAGCATTCAGCCCTGAGGTATTGCCTCTACACACTGACCTTTACTATTATTATTGTTTTTCCATCCCTATAATCAGTACTAAATAGACCGAAGCAACGAGATGCACTGCTTGCAGAAGAACAAGACTGTTTCTGGGTTGGATAGAGCACAACAGAAAATATATGTAACCTCGGAGTAGTACTAAGTTAAACATATGTTGAACACCACAAGACACGGCCCAACTATAATTAAATGTGTCCATATGTTGCAGGTTTTCGGACATCCAGGACCTTTGTCAGTGCTAAAATCATGCCTTTCTCACTGATGAGTTTTCACGAATTCTAGTAGCACATGAGATATTGGAACTTAGTGGTCCCTAGCCATTGAAAATTACATGAAGTCAGGACTTTGGGAAATGAGCTGTTCATTTACCATTATCTTGCATGGCATACCCACCCTACTTGACCACCAATTAGAAACTGTGGATACTTGACTAAGTGTATGCACAGTATCACGGTATATTCAGAACAAAGCCTGTAAGAAACTGCAATTACAAACAAATGGGCACACTACAAATTATTCCTGTTGTGTATTAATAAAAAATATGAATAATTGATTTGATGACTATATTATAGAAATTCCAATAAAATTAAGATCTATGATGAAAGCGAATGAAAATTATAATTGTTACATTTATCCAATCAGACAACAAAATAGTTTTTTATCTTAAGTTATGGGGAAAGCCTTTACAAATAGTGGAGATTTAAAACGTAAATTTAAAAGTGAAACTGATTCAGAATCGCTAATGGACCGAGCAAGGGGATTCCACAATCGCGGATCCTGGCTGCAGAAGGTTATATCTCCCATAGAACATAGTCTTGTCTTTGGAATAATTAGTAGACCACAATCATCTGATCTACGTTTTCGTCGTGGTCTATAAAACTACAGAAGAACTGGCAAATTTTTTTAGGAGCCAGCCCATTAAAGGCCTTAAATGTAAGAAGCAGAATCTTGAAGTCGATTCTATACTAAACAAGGAGCCAGTGCAGGGACAAAAGAATAGGAGTAATATGGTTATACGATTTAGATCTGGTTGAAACCCGGGCAGCTGAGTTTTGAATATATTGTAATCTATTTAAAACACTTTCAGAAACAAGTAAGGTATTACAGTCATCCAACCGAGATTAAATGAAGGCATGCACCAGACTGTTGGCATCAGGAAGGGAAAGCATAGGTCTTAGTTGAGCTATGTAGCTTAAATGTGTAGTGAGTCAAACTGAGTCGCAGACGTTGTCTTGGGAGCAACACTATCTATTACATCAACTCAACACAACATAACGTAACGCCCATCTAACTACGCTACGGCAGAACTAGACACGGTCCCGCTATCCCAGTCCGGACCACGAGCTGGGTCCCGGACTGAGTGGCTAGAGGCTTCTTCAACCCGACGTGGATCTTCACTCACCAACAGTCCAGAACCCCGGGCCCCTCACAGGGCCACCGTTATTTCGGCCCAGGCTGGGGCTGGCTCCGCCTCTCGCCCCGCCCACCTTCTAGATCTCTAGAGCTTTTTCCCGAAGGCTCCCGAAAGCTCCTTATACCACGTGACCACCCAGCGGCCCCTATCCACCAGTGGCCCCCTCACCATGAGCCCACACCGCACACTGTACGTGGTGCCTCTGCGCTAACCAGCGCTCACCCAAGCCCCGCTAGGGCTGGTACTACGCCCAGTAACCGGGCTGCACATAACGACAACATATCCGCCGTGGCTTCGCAAGCCCGGCACCACACAGTGACATTCACAGTCACTACATCACACCCCCCCCCCTCATTAGCATCCAGCCGTCCCGGCTGCCAACTCCCCCGCAAGCAAGCAACTGACGTACATATATAAGAACAACAAGTAAGTGTGCTCCAACAATAACATAACCGCAATAAATTACCCAAACCCAACTGTACAAATTTACACCGAGATAAAAGGGGAAGAGGGAAAAAGAACAACAGCGCACAAATAACAACCCGACAAGCGTGTCGCACAAGGTCCCCACAGTCAACATATCCCACCCACAACGTGTAACAACGGCCGTGAGCTCGATGGCGAGCAGGATCAGCCAAATACTCGCCACGACGCATGCGAGTGCGACAACCCGTGACGGCGTGGGAGTGTGCAATGTGCGGAGATCATGCGAATCGAGTCTTTGAGCGAGTCCGTGACGCCGGGCCTCCAGGCGGGTTGGGTTCGTCCACCCTGGAAGGCCCGGGGGGAACAAGAAATCGACCCGATGAATCCGGCTCCTCACGAAGAGCAGTAGGCCAGGTCATCATGTCCTTAACGTCCAGAGCACCTGTGGACAATGCAACCAGGCCCTGTCCCCGGCGACCAATCACACATGGAAACACGGGCTTCCTTGAGCCACTCGTTGGCCAACGGTTTGACCCGGGAGTTAACGCTGGCAGCTTCCCGTGCCTCGGAAAGTTTGGCAAGAGTGAAACGAACCGAATCAGAAATTTTGGACACTTTCGCGGCGCGTGCGGCTTGTAACTGCACATCGATGGGAGGATCATACTCCCTCCCATACATTAAAAATAGGGAGAGTAGCCAGTGGACGTGTGAGGGGTCATCCTATAAGCGGCCTGTGACTCGCTGACCAAGTGACTCAACATAGAGGTCAGAGTCCGGTGTAGGCGTTCGACCATACCATCTGTTTGCGGGTGGTACGGTGACGTGCGTTCCTTTTTTGTCCCCAGCAAATCGCAAACCTCACGCAGCAGCTTGGATGAAAAATGTTTACCTTGGTCCGTCAAGAGGCACTCGACGGCACCCTTATCCAGTACATAGCCATTGAGGAACGTCTTGGTAATAGTCACAGCTGATTGATTCGGGAGCAGCCAGGCCATAGGCCAGCGTGAGAAATACTCAAGGCCCACAAGCAAGTACCTATTTCCACGCACGGAAGTAGGAAACGGCCCGTGAATATCAAGGGAAACTATTTCGTTAATGCGCAACACCTGTGTAACGGGTTCCGGAGACACTTGTAGAGGTAACTTGTTTATTACAACCCAACACTCTCCAACAGTCCAACTCTCCAACAGTCCTGACTCTCCAACACTCCTGATACTCTGTTACAGCCTAGGTACACAGCCTAGGTACACAGCCTAGATACTCTACTCTGGCTACGCTCTGGAACTCGCCCTCACAAGGTCGTAGAGTCGGGAGTTCCAGAGTCCCACCACTGGCTCTCACAGTGTCCCAGGGTCCTCGGATGGCTGGTCTTGGGTCTTGGGTCTTGAGCTACGACTGGGCCCTGATCGTCCAGTGAGCTCCTCTTTTATGCCTGGTCCAACGAGGGGTGGGGCCGTGTGCTCCACCAGACATCCCACAGAGCACACACAGCCCCCCCCCCCGTTGGCGGCGCCAAGAGGCTTAAGCGTCTGAGAACCCAACGCCTGGTGCCAAGAGGCTTAAGCGTCTGGACCCGCCTAGGAACCCAACGCCTGGTGCCAAGAGGCTTAAGCGCCTGGCCCACCCAGGGTCCCAGGGCCCCCAACAGCCCCTCCCTTCTTATGTCACTACATTACCCCCCTCTACGTAGCCTCCAGCCGACCCGGCTGTCAATAATTAGAAAGTTTAAATTAACGAAAGGGAGAGAGAGAGAAAAAAAATACACGAGCCTCAACAGGAAAAGAAAAGAGAACAAGAAAGCAACCATAAATACCATAACCAACCTGTACAACTTTACACTATATACAAGCATCAATCAACAAAAAGGTGAAGCAATGACACGTGAACAAGCGACCCGCAGCACACCTAGCCCTCCTCGGGATCCGCATAGAAAACGGGGAATTAACAACAACAAATATACAGATTCCGACACGTTGGATGCACAACCACCGCATGGATGGCAGGGTTCCACACCACCCTGCCAGCCTCCCATCCGTCAGGTGGAGAGAAGGCGAAGACCAACATGTCGAGCATCCCTCTACACACACTAATCCGGACGTCTGTCTACGTCCCGGGTCGAGAAGTCGTACTTCAGGGCCGACCCATGTACTGGGCAAAGAAGTCGCACTTCAGGGCTGCTCCAGTATCTACATTTTAAAATATATATATAAAATTGACATGACACAAACAAAATAAATCTGCCTGCTCCTGTCCATAAATGGTTGCCGCACGCATGAACCGCATCTCCAAAAGGCATCCCGTGCTTGTGTCCCAGCAGCCCTCAATGAGGACCACCACCGACATTATATGTCAACCGTTAGCACCCCCCGCCTTTCCAACGTGGCGCCTCCATCCTAAAACTGCGCACGTCGGCCATATCGGGGGGGAATTTCTGTGTTACCACCCCACCGCCTTTCCGACGCGGCGTCACAACCAGTAGCACGCGTCGGCCATATCGGGGGGCTTCAAACCAGTCTCTCTCCAAGACTCGCATCGCAGCATATAGCTGTACCGACCGAGCTGAGACGACCCATTCTCTCTCCAAGACTCGCATCGCAGCATATAGCTGTACCGACCGAGCTGAGACCCAGTCTCTCTCCAAGACTCGCATCGCAGCATATAGCTTGTCCGACCGAGCTGAGACCCAGTCTCTCTCCAAGACTCGCATCGCAGCATATAGCTGTACCGACCGAGCTGAGACGACCCATCGTTCACTCCCTGCACAACATGCACCCTAACAACTGAGGGATACAGTCCCAACGTAACGGGACAACTACACCAGAACACCACGAATCTCCAGCCCACTGTTTCAACGCGCCTCGGAGTGTTTCAATCTCCGGGCCGTCAGGGCGAGCCTACTGCTCCAGACGCACCACGGAGGGTCTCAACCTCCGGGCCATCAGGTCAATCCGTCAGCTATTCCATGACGG